CCCCCCAGATGGGGGGATGATAACCCGCAAGTATACGGGATAGTTGTAACCTCTTTCGATAAGTAAGAGTGTCGAACCCAACGAGGAGCTAAAGGTAGAACAAATATTCTCTCAAGTCCTATCTGCCACTGATACGACTCTGCACACGCTTAGTGTTCGCTTTACCTAGAACAAGTATGAAACTAGAAGTACTTTGTAGGTGTTGTTGGATAGGTTTGCAAGATAATAAAGAACACGTAAGTATAAACTATGGGATGTTTAGATAAAGAAACAATAAAGTAAATAAAGTGAGTGTGGAAAAGTAGTGGTAGGAGTTGTGAAATTGTCCCTAAGCAATTGACTACGTTACTAGACCGATAATCACTACTGCAATTCTATTTGAAGGAGAGGCATAAGCTAACATACACTACTAGGAAAACTCTTACCAGTAGCGCTGGTTATTTGGCTATTAGTAGCGCGGGTAGGCACGCTACTGCTATGGCGCTACAGCTATTTTTTAGTAGTAGCGCTTGTTTGAACCAGCGCTACTGCTATCTGTATCTAGCAGTAGCGCGTCTCTGCCCATCGCTACTGCTAATGCTAGTAGCGTGGCCCAACAAACAAACGCTACTGGTAAGCAGCGCTACTACTACTCCAATACCCCACGCTACTGCTAGTATTTTCTTTTTTTATGTTGCTGTATTCGTATTTTTACATGTTTTATATAGTTACAACATACACATACACTGGAACTATATGAAAAAGGAATGTCTCATCATCATCATCGAAGTGGTACAACATAGTCTCATCATATCAACATAGTCTCAACACAAATGATGTCGATATCATCATCATCTCGAAATAGCGATACAAGATATAATGATGACATGTATCTTACATTGTCACCCTAGACACATGTTTCATCATCTACCTAAACTAAGACATGCACAATAAGAGCAATCACGATGATCAAAAGCGGTATTATGTAGTAGTTTTTGTAGCGGCGCTGGTTCTGAATCCCCTGTTTTGCTATGAATCTCAAGTAACTAGCTTCGGCTTCCGCTCTGCTATCAAACCCTTTCTGGCTTCCACCGGAGAAGCCAGAGACTTGGGCCTGACACTCTGGCCCCTCATCATACACACCCGGAACATGCCCTACATACATGGCATACCACTTCCTCGCCATCGTTGATCTATATACCTGTCAGAGATGCACATATATATACCATGAAGCGAATTCAACAAAACAGTTATGAAATAGAAGCAACATATATAGTAAACATAGTTAACAAATTTTATCGTACCGAAAGTAATTAACTACAGCGCGGCACCATACATCTAATAGTTTCGTCGTACTGAGAGATTCGAAGTTTCGTCGTACAAAAAGTAACAAGTAACTAAACAGACACATTGTTTTTAAGCAGTGCACTCTTCCCATCTGTCCATATCCGGGAGGACAGACCCAAACTTAGTGAAAGGCGTCATGTCCTGACGCTGTAGGGCAATGCGGGTTCGGACGTCAGCTCGCGATATTGGGCCGGCGTAGAACATCCCATTCTCTTCGAGGACATCTTTGATGATGATGGACGCAATTTCCTATTGGATGCGGTAGAAATCATTTCGAAGTCGATTATCCGGCACGGCTCCAAAGGCTTCGGCCCATCTCTGGATATGGGTATCGGATGAAGATTTCATGCAGAGTGATTGCACATCCCTTCTGTACTCCATCATTAGATGGATGACGTAGAATCCATCATTCTCACTTCTTGCCGGTTGTTGGATGCAACAGAAGTCAGTCTTGTGGCTGAAACAAAGCCCGACCTTGTTTGTTTTTTTGTGTTGGATGTAGCCACCCCGCATGCTGAAGCCCAACATAGCTCTGTCCAGAACATACTTTATGTGTGTGTAATCTTTCTTCTGTATGTTCTTCGACGGGTCCAAATATAGAGCGCGGGAGTAAGCGGGTAAAGAACAATGAGAACGGCACGACACCCCCCGCTGTGCAAAATACACGATCAAGCTTAGCCTCCATGCGTGCAAAGTAGCTATTGAAATGCACGAAAGGATGTATGTGTTATAGTGCTATCCGCGAATGACCTACCTGGGATGATAAGGTAGGAGAATCGTTTCTTTGTCCTTATTGCTGACCAAGAATTCTTCGATGTACTGACTCACATATTGACGGTTGGCGTCATTGACTGACAAGAAGCCCTCATGCATGTAGTATGGGTCCGCGACCGCAAGACCGGTGACTTGCTCTCTCCTGACGATGTAGTTCATGTGCAGCGCATACAGTCGGACGAACGTAAAATCGAGTGTCCTCATTTGAAACATCTGGAAGATGTAATCAAACCTCAGGAAGAAGAGGTCCGCGGGCATGTGTGGACATACATCTTGCAACTGCTCAGCACATGAACCGTATAAAGTGGGTATCCTGGATCATCCGAGGTGAGGAGGCTTCTCTCTGTCAAAAGCACATGGTCATGGAGTCTCCTGAGATCCCCTTCTATGGCAGCTAGTGCATTCGCCGGTACCATTGGCTCTCCCGCGACATGGATTAATGGCGCATGTTTCATCGGTACATGGTCAACCTTGGTCGAAGGCTGCTGGCTGCTAGAACCAACATTGCTAGCTTTATTGGATTTTCTTGCTGCCGGTCTCTTCCTTTGCTTCTTCTTGGTGGGCTGAGGTGCTGGTGGGTCTGTCAGACCCTCCCTGAGCACCACCCCTAGTGTTGTCGGGCTCAGCATTGGACGACTCTGGCTAAGTAGTTGAGCTTGGGTGGAGCCGACATCTGGAGGCGTGTCCTGCGAGGATTGCATGAACAAAGACTTCTTGCATTCCAGAGGACGTTCCGGCTCTGGTACATGCATCTCATATTCATATGGTTGACTCGTTATTACTTCGTTGTCAAAGGCATTATCGAAATACTGGTTAGGGTCATCGTCGGCATCCTCCATGTCATGATCCCTATCATCTTCCATGGGGCAGATGGCATCATCTGCCGGCGGAACGGTTGGCCCTCCTTCCTCATGTCTCTCAATCTCAGCAAGCAGCACAGACGATGGTTGTACTTGTGTAGGTGGTGTTGTGGTCATACCTTCATGAGGTACCGTTGGTGTGCTCCCGGCCACCTCAACACAAAGAAGATTTTTCGGCCACAGGATCGGCCAATTTTTGCATTGGCCAAGCTGCGTGGGGGTCTCGTCATCCTCTCCATCAGTTTGTATCGGACGGGGGAGACCCTTGTAGCCCGCTTTCACACGCGCCACGGAGACCCTTAAGGCGTTATCAGACATCTGCCGACGGTGAAACAATCGATCCTTAGGCTTCACTATAGTACCCTTCCCCACATCCACTAACCCGCCCTTCATGTTGTAAAGGAGGGTGCACGGAGTGGAGTCGGCCTACAAATACATATACGTGCGGCGTTAGAGATCCAGAAAGAACGGCAATTGAAAATTAATTAATTAGTTGACTTGATGAAGGTGCGACGACGCGTATTTACCATGAGGGCGTCGAGCTCAGCCAATGTCGACGACCCGACATTCAAGCCAGAGACGGAGCTAGGGCTACTGTGAGAGCTGGGCGCAGGAGCAGGTGCTGGAGGAGGTTCGGGTGCGGTTGCCATACTAGGTACGGGTATGGGTGCGATGTTCATTGAGTTGCTCCCGGTGAAGCTGGGCATGGGAAATTCACTTGGTGGCGCATTTGGATTTTGTTGCACCCATGTGACCACTGTTGGAATCAAGGTTGTAAAGGCATCCACGAAATCAGATCTACAGGCAGCGATTATCTCAACTTTGGTCTCAGCTTTTGCTTTCTCCATCGCCCGTGCCACCTTCTCGTCGATAGTCACTTGACTGAACTTCTTTCTCTGTCTTTTGGCCTCGGGGTCCTCGCTATAATAGTACTTCCAAGTGGCCCCATCCCCGGCGCCATGCACACGTCCATATTGCGGCCGCTGGCCGGGCGGGTGTCCCATCATTATGTTCATGGCCCGGTTGAAAGGAGTGTCCCACTTGTACTTCACCGACGACTGAGTCGACGAGTCGCTCT